TGAGTAAAAACACATTTGTATTAAATAAAAATCTTGATTTTGGATATCAAGCTTATTTATATTTTATTTTTACCTGAGAATTTTCTTTTGATTTTTCTATAATTTCATCAATGTAAATGTAGCAGAGTAGTTCGAATTGGAACTCCAATATATATATTTTTTTCATAGGTGGTTCTCGAGCTTTTGAAAAAACATACCCTCATTTTTTTAACAAGGCGCTAGTTAACATGGTTCTCAAGGTTTTTTTTCTTCTCAAATCCACGGAACAGAAATGATACAGTACCCCCAAGGAGGGGTAAGATGCACCAGAAGGAAAGCTGTAGCAAGGGCGCCGGCGAAGAGGCGGATGTTGCCGAAAAGTCTCCGGTAAACTAATTCCAGGCTCCGCGGGATCGCCTTGGCCACCGATGCTGTGGCGTATGTAAATAGAGCGGCCAAAAAGGCTGACATGACCCTCTTGTGAGTATCGCAAGGAGAAGGAGGCATTGATTGGTATTTCACTTGGATTTGTTTATTTAATGTGTCCACGTGCAAAGGAAATTAATTGGTTCTATTGTCGAGGAAGTTAATTGGTAAGAAAAGGAAATTAGTACTAACTTGATTAAATAATTAAGTAAAAGAAAAGAAGATGAAGAAGAAAGCAAAGAGATTTATAAGAACCTGTCTCTCTCGAAACCAAGATCTGGCCTATGGTTTGCAGCCATTTTCTTCTGCTTCCTTTTTCTACGGTGATGTCTTCGAGGTCGAGGAAGTTATCGGATGGGCGCGGAGTGGCGGGGCCTCGTCCTTTTTTATAGGCGAGTCACAGCTGGAGCTTTCTAGTAAACGATGTATTTTTAGTTAAAATTCTCCACTTTTCTTTATGCATTTCCATTTTTATATGACAAGGCCATCAATTTTTTTTTTCAGCACATAATATTTTGAATAAAAAATTAAAAGTATTGGATTATTTGAATATTTTATCAACACATAATATTTTAATCTCATTGAATATTCATGTGCCTTTTTTAGAATATAATGTATAGTAGTTTCATATATGATTATAAAAAAAATGTAAATATAACCATAAAAACTTATAATTTTATTTTAAAAAATATAACATAATTGGGTGATTTTTAAAACATCATTATATTTTTTTATTTTAAAATTATTTTATTTTTAAAAAAATTTATTTTCAATCACCTTGGAGCTCATCTGAAAATATAGGTTTGTGTTTTTTAAAAATTTAAATTTTTATAAGTTTTAAATTATTTTGATGTGATGATTTTAAAAATAATTTTTTAAAAAATAAAAATATATATTATTTTATTACATTTCAGCATTAAAAACACTTTAAAAAATAACCACAATCACATTTCGAAATAAAATCTTATAATTAAAAAAAATAAGACAAAATCTTATAATTAAAAAAAATGAGGTTCATTAATTTCTAACACTAAAAACCCTTAAAATAACTCTAAAAAATGAAAATCAAACTAAATAAAAAATATTTATATACTCTAATCTACTTTTTAATGTACATCATCTTCATTAAACTCCATAGTACATCAAACTCTCATAGTAAAGATAGTCTTCTTTAACACCAAAATTATTTTTTTTAGATTCAAAATATAATTTACTAAATATTTTTTCTTATGTCTTCATTATGATTTTTTTCTCTCATTTATAAAAGTTGAAAGATTGAAATGCAATAAAAATAAAATTTAGAATTCAAATATAAATAAATAAAAGAACAAGGTCTGAAAAAACAAAATTTGAAGGGCCAAATTGAAGTTTGTCATGCTTTAAATGAAAGATTTCTGAGCAATAATTTAAAATTTTATTTTGTAAAATCATTTTTATTTCAACATCAAATAATATATGACATATTGGATATGATCTCATGTAAATAAAAAATGATACCATCACATAATGCGTGGGAGTAATTGTGAGATTACAAGCTAGAAATACAATTAATTGGTTGTTGTATAAACAATAAACAAACGTGCCAGTCCTATTTAATAAAATACAAAAAACGAAAAAAAATTATTTCATTACATTTTTCACATGCCAAGTAAATTCCTCGTAATCAACATCTTCTCAACTCTTCCTCTTCAACCATCCAAAGATTTCTTTGAAGGTCAAAAAAAAAACAGAGAGGGTGGGGAGGAGAACAACCAGAACTACTCCCAAACACGTATTTTCCTATGCCAATTACTCTAAGGGCATGTAGTGAGCTAGACACGTGGCTGATTCAGATCCTCCTTGCGGCTCCTCACGCGTGCAATTAGCCTGGACAACATGTCATGTAACTTACTAGTTAGCTGGCTTAAAATGTTGGACACTTCTCGGCTTGATTCATATGCGACTCCCGTAAATAAACAGGCCCATATGACGGAAATAACGCACCCCAGAATTGGAGCAAGAATTGCTAGAAGCAATATCGCAGCAAGGGCACTGGCGAAGAGTCGGAGATTGCCAACCAGTGTGTAGTAAGTTGATTGTCATACGAAGAAAAGTGATTATATAAACAGTCAGCGCAAAGTCTTCTGCCACATAATTACAGGAACAATAAGAAAGTTCATACGAAGAAAAGTGATTATATAAACAGTCAGCGCAAAGTCTTCTGCCACATAATTACAGGAACAATAAGAAAGTTCATACGAAGAAAAGTGATTATATAAACAGTCAGCGCAAAGTCTTCTGCCACATAATTACAGGAACAATAAGAAAGTTCATACGAAGAAAAGTGATTATATAAACAGTCAGCTTGTGACATGTTTTGGTTATAATACTTTCAAGGCCTCCTTTTTTCAAGAAAAAAGAAAAACTGAGAGAAAAAATAAAATTAATTTCTACCCAGCTTGCGATCAAAACCATGCAATTATATGATTTTAATGTAGATTCTTCTTCTATTATATATTCAAACACCGTTTCTCCTTCTTTCTTCTTTCTGTTTTTATTTTCATTTTTCAATGCAACAAGCCCGCGATCTCTCTAAAAAAAACAAGACGAATGAAGATCGGGTTGGGAAATACAGGAGTTTTGCAATTGTGTTGTTGGAAGAAAAAATAAGAGTGAAATTTGTGGTAAAAAATAATTGGATTGTTTGAAAATTAGACTTGATATTGGATTAATTAAAAATTAAATTTTATATTTTTTTATTTGTTTTTCATAGAATTATCCAGATCTTTTTATTTTGATTTGATAAGTGAACCTAAATCAATAATTTTATCTTTTTTATTTTATTTTATTTTTAATTTAATTATTTAACATTGAATTTATTAGAAATTGAGATTTATAATTTATTTTTTTATTTTTTTATGAATTATCACTATCTTATAATCCGGGTTGTGGGTTAAGTCAGTTGACCTAGGTTTCTTTTATTCCTTTTTAGTTAATTTTATTTTAATCACATCCTTTAATATTAAGTTAATTAAGAATTAGATTTTATAATTTATTTTAGTTTGCATTTTATAAGGTTATCATAGTCTCATAACTTGAGATACGAGTTTATTCGGTTGACTTAGGTGTTTTTTATTTTATTTATTTTAACTTTATTTTTTAATATTAATTGATTGTAAATTAAGCTTCATAATTTATTTTAATTTATTTTTTATAGAGTTATCCCGGGATTTCATGACCTAGATTTGACAAGTTGATTTAGCTTATTCCTTTGGTTAAATTTTGTTTTTAATTTTATTTTTTAATACTAAGTTGATTAGAAATCGGGTTTAATATATTTTCTTTCAATAGAATTATTAGAGTCTCATGTGCTAAGTAGTGAATTTACAGTTTAACCCAAGTTGATCTTAATCGATTTAATTTATTATTATTTTTATACTTAAAAAATAATATTATCTTGATTTTTTTTAGTTAAACTATATTTTTATTAGTTATCTAATTTTTTATATATATACTAAGTCAACTAGGTCACATATAATCAATTCCAATATATTTTTTTAATTGAGATAATATTAAAAATACCTAATTAATTTTTATATTTAAAAAATAATAATTTAACCCACCACACCACTTTAGCAATTATCTGGTATAAACTGAAGGCCATTTAGCAATCATCATTAGGCTTATAGCCGGCTTCGCAAGTGAAAATGAAGTCAAAAGGATTCGGTGCTGCCCTCTGCTTATCATTAAGTCGACGTGACTTTTTTATTTGGATAAATAAAGAGGAAAAAAGAGAAGTGGTGAAGTATGATATCTCTCTAGTTAGTCTCTAGAAAATTATAAAGAAATCGTATAACATTTTTTTCAATCATGCTATTTTATACAACAGCTCTGAATGAGCCTTTCAACTAGCATCTTATGTGAATAAGTTGTCTTAGTAAGAAAAGGCTAACTAATTTTCTTGGATTAAATATGCTAGTTTAATTGAAAAATCAATTATTAAACCACATTGATATTTGACTTAGATTGTGCGTGAATATGAATCAATAAGAACCAGTTACTCTAATTAATTTAAAGTGGATTATCCAAAGGTCATATATCATTTTTTTATTAAAAAAGAAAAAAGAAAAGAAGCAGCAGCAGGAGATAGAGTTCAAAGGAGTGAGAACACCAATTCTCCTTTATTATGAAGAACAGACTCTAGCCTTCTAACGTGGATATCTTTCTATGTCTGAACAGGAAGCATGGCACCAAGGTGGGATTTTTGGTCCACCAGGAGGTCCATACCCCATGCACTCAATCTAAATTATTTTGTTCACAGGCTGAGCCTGAGGTTCATTTAAAAGTTTGTTTAAATCAAAATATAAGCCCGGCCCATAAGTAGAATATCTCCCTCACGCAACCACTAAAGGATAGAAACCTCCAGGACTCGAAGTCTTGCCATTTGCTAACGTTGCGTTTTGAAGGATGAGGAGTGTTTTAGGTGGGGGCTCCAGCACAAACTTCGCAACTAGCTCCTCTCTATAAGCTTGCTGACCATCAAAGCTTTTGGTAGCGATTAGCAGGTTAACCATGGCTAATAAATCTAGCTAAGAAAACTTTGCTAGTCCCATATATGCAAAAAGAATACACAGGTCACAGAAAAAATGACCTCTTCTCTATTCAATTCTCTTGTACAACAACAAATACAATACATGTGATGAGAATGGGTAGGCAGAAGAAAGTGAATCGAAGGCAATCATTTAATACAATGCTAATCCGTCTCGAGACTTTGTAATTAGCTGCACTTTCTGCTGACTAGCTTGGGTCCTCTTCACGGTTTCTCTCATCATCAAATAGCTTTTCCAACATGTCAGTATATGCGTGGCTTAGCAATTGGTAGAATTGTTGACATGATTCATATGCTAGTGACCCCAATAAACAAATCCACAGAATAGAAATGATAGAGTACCCCCAAGGTGGGGTTAGAAGCACCAGAAGGAAAACTGTAGCAAGGGCGCTTGCAAAGAGGCGGATGTTGCCGAAAAGCCTCTGGTAAACTGATTCCTGGCCCCGCGGTATCGCCTCGGCCACCGATGCTGTGGCGTATATAAATAGAGCGGCCAAAAACGCTGACATGACCCTCTTGTGAGTATCGTATGGAGAAATAGGCATTGATTGGTATTTCACTAGGATTTGTTTATTTAATGTGTCCACGAGCAGAGCGAAGGCTCCATGATGCACAACGATGCTGTCACCATTAACAAAATTAAAATTGCTTCAGCAAGATCGTTTTACAAAACAATGTATGTATATAACTTCTGTTCTGATGTCGAGGAAGTTAATGGGTAAGAAAAGGAAATTAGTACTAACTTGATTAAATAATTAAGTAAAAGAAAAGAAGATGAAGAAGAAAGCAAAGAGATTTATAAGAACCTGTCTCTCTCGAAACCAAGATCTGGCCTATGGTTTGCAGCCATTTTCTTCTGCTTTCCTTTTCTATGGAGATGTCTTCGAAATTGAGTTGGTTCCCCGGATGTTCGAAGAGGAGCAGGGCCCCGTCGATTTATAGGCGAAACAAAGCTGGAGCTTCCTCGTCGAGCAAAATAAAAGTCAAGTTGAGTGTGGGTCCTCGAGACGTCTTTAGTCCTTGGGACGTTTTTTCGAGACCCGGCGTCTCGAGCTAAATAAAAATTAAAGAACCCTCCCGTTCGCTAAAATGTTAACTTCGTCTACTTGTTTAAAAAACACGGCACTCGTCACCAAACTTGACATGAATGATTAGAAATTCAGTCAGGTTTTAATGTGCAAGCGACATCCGATAATTTTTAAAATCAATTAAATTAATTAATTTCACAGTGATTAAAAAATTACTTAAAAGAATTTCAAATAATTTAATTTTTAGAGAAAAAGATTTATTTTTTTAGTAAAAATTCTCTATTTTCCTTTATACATTTCTATTTTGATATGACACAGCCATTAATTTTTTTAGCAACAACATAATTTTTTGAATAAAAAATTAAAAGAATTAAAATAAAAAGTTATAGTAGTTTAAATTATTTAAATTTAGGATGAAAAAATTATTTATTTAACTGGTCTTTTATCTTAATTATTCATTTATTTATTTTTATTTTGATAAAATAAAATTATAAAAAATCTGTTTTTTTATAAATATTTATCATAATCTCTTAATTGATTATTTTTAGATGGCTATATGAAAAATAAAATGAGTAAACAGGATAAAGAATTGAAAGTAAAACCAAAAACAATATATATATTATTTTTATTGAACATTCACGTGCTTTATTTAAAAATATTATGTATAGTAGTTTCAATATGATTATAAAAGAAATATAAATATAACCAAAAAGAATTATAATCTTTTTTTTTTAAATATAACATAATTGAGTGATTTTTAAAACATTATTATAATTATTTAATTAAAGAGGGTCATGTTTTAATAAAAGAAATTAAAAAAAAGGTCGATTAGACGCGCATGAGCTGAGTTTGCTAGGCTCGCATGCCTTAACAATAAAAACTTTGACATGCATGGACCTAAAAGATGAGGCTTAAGTGCCTACCATTCTTGCAAAAAACTCAAGTGACGACATGTCATTTGTCTAGCCACATGACATGCATCCACCATAACAAATTTTAATCATCTTTACCAAGTAAAAAATCAAGTTCCAAGGTATTTTAAATTAAAAACCCTAAACTTCAAAAACACCCTCTTACTAGTCTAGAAACTAAAAATTAAATTGAATTAAAAAATTCTTTCCAAACCATGATTTTTTTTTTTTTACATGATTAGAGATCTAAATCACCTCATTTGATTACTTCTATTGATTATTTCTTTTCTATATAAATCCACCAAGAATCAACTTTTAAAACATTTTATTCACTTAGAAGCAATCGTTTATTAAATGAGAAAAAAAAGTGAAGGGTTCCCTTATTGTGTTCATAGGAAATACAAGTTTATTACAAGAGAAGTAGCAAACAGTTCTAGTTTTATGATAAATTTCCACCTTCTTTTCTGAGAGTGTGCCTATTTAAAAAAATATATATCTATCAAAATATTTTTAAATATTGGACCACAAACTATCTAAATAAAAAGCACAACAGGATCAAATTAAACAGGGCTGGCCTGTACATTTAATTATTCTTGATTTTTTTCTCTTCCAAATTGTAAAGGTGGAAAAGGGTAAGAATTAATATACGATCAGATTTCAAAGTTAAATTGACAACAGCTAAGAATTATTTTATTATTTTTAAATTTTATGATTGACCAGATTAATTAATATTTCAATTATAACATCTTCAAGTTATAAATCTTGAGTTATATTTTTTTGTGTTGTGAAAACTTATCTTATCAGTTCGTGTTGCATTAATTGTGAACGAAACACGATAATCATACGAATCAAAGAGTTCATTTAGCCTTAAAAGTAAGAGTGTCTTCGGTTCATAATAAGTCATTTAAGTATACCTTTTCACTTAAGTAATTAATTATGTCCATTTATATTTATCCATGATTTTGCAATTGAGCTAACTGTTCTATAATTACGATAACTATGAAAGGTCAAGTACAGTTTCATAAAAAACAAACTCGTTATTTTCAAAAAGAAAAAATACCCCTTTTTCTTTTTTATGGAAAGCCATTTTTGAAGTAATAAATGCTTGAAATTAATTCGTCGTCATCTTATTTTGATATTTCTTATTATTTAAAGGCATTAGAGTCATAATATTTTCAAGTAACCGTAACAACACCTATGTGACTTGACTTTCTTAGTGTTTTGAGTATTAGAAGAAGAATATATATATATATATATATATATATAGAGAGAGAGAGAGAGAGAGAGATGTGCAGGAGACATGGGTGTAAGACCAAAGAGTTGTCTTTGTATGGGGATACTGGTGGAGGGGTTAAAAAAAAATATGGAAAAACGCTTGAGAGTCTCAGACGTCTGCACTGTTTATATTTTATAGTCAAAGACGAATACTCCTCCACTTCACATCAGCACATTTCAAAGTCCATGCTCCGTAGACACCATCCACGCGTTAGAGAGATGGGAATCCATTTAAGGCATCAATGGCTTGATCAGGGGCGGAGCTAGATTCATTCTTTAGGGGACGCCAAATCTAATATAAGAATATATATATTATTACAAAGTTTATTTATTCCAATTAAAAATATTAAATAATAAAATATTTTAAAATGTTTTGCAGGGGCTCGGGCCCCTGCTTGCCACCCCCTAGTTCCGCCCCTGGGCTTGATGACAGCCACGTGGAACCGGTAAGATTTTTAGAGCCCAGCGCTCTCTGCTGTCTAACAGCGATCGAAACCTAGTGAGAGAATGAGCCAAATATTATCAGCAAGTTGCGCCTCCCCATTTTGTATAAGACATCCACCAAATGTCTTGGTCGCTGAAAGCCCATCTTGAACCGAAGATCCACCACCGGTCGAGTTATGGAAGTGCTTTAAAAAGATTTATATGAAATTATGATTGTAGTTATTTTTAAAGTATTTTTTATATTAAAATAAATTTTAAATTTTATTTTAATTGTATTAGAAACACAGGTTGGTCTGCTTTCTCTACATGCTAAAGTTATTGAACATGTTTGATTTAGTAGTTGATTTGGATAATATTCCGAGTTAAATTAAAGACATAGCAGCATTAAATGCTAACATGACCCTCTCGTGGGTGTCAAATGGAGAAACTGGCATTGACTGGTAGTGCACTTGGATTAGGTTGCTTAAAATGTCCACGAGCAGGGTAAAAATAGCATGCTGCGCTACGATGCTGTCATCATAACAAAATTAAAATTACTTAAACACAAGAATGGAAAACAGTGAAATAAAGGGAAAAGGGAATTTAGTTTGAATATGAAACAAAAAATAAATAAATAAAGACAAGAGGATCTACAGTAGCCTGTCTCCTTTGAAACCAAGATCAGACGGGTGGTTTTCTGCCATTTTCACAGCTTTCTTTAGCTAGAGTGATGTCGTCTTTGGGGTTTGGAGTTCTAGACAAATGGGTGACGTGTCGTTGGTTACGGGGCATTTTATAGGAGAGGAAAAGTGTTAAAAGTCTCGAATTAGTTCACCCCCCAAATGGGTGGGGGGTGGGGTCTTCAAAAGACGTCTTCCGTTTGGTCAGAGGCGTATTCTTCAATCGCCAATACTAATAACTAAATTCTATCCAGTCTCTTATTAATAAACCTGTCAATATTGCTACTATTATTTTAAAAGACTATTGATTCCCGAGCAATAGGATATTTTTTTAAATGAATCCTAAAATATAGGTTAATTATGTTGCTTTATATTATATCTACACCATGAAAAATTCTAAATAACATAAAATAAATTATTCTTAAACTATACAGTGCTACATTGATACTTTAATTTTATTACGATGACTTTAAAAAGGCTTAGAAATAATCTAATAAGAAAGATGGAGTATAAAAAATTGAAAATATTTAAATTACATAAAATTGTTAAATTGAATTCTTAGTTATTTTTTCTATACATTGCTTCTGGTTCTGGACAAATACTAATAGTATTAAAAAATCAATATCTTCTTAATACTTAGTTAATTAATATTTTTATTCATGTATTTATTGCTAATTTGTACTCATCTTTACATAATTAAAAATAAATATTAAAAAAAAAAGGTTCATGGTGATATAATGTCAAGGGGAAATTGTTTAGTAATTTTTATTTTTAAGGATTATATATATATTTAACATAACTATTAATTATTAATTTATGAGCGATAATTCAATTCATGATTCTAATATTAATTCACTTAAGTTAAAGAAATATTTTACAAGATTCCGATTTTAAAGAGGTTAATTTAATTATAATTATCAAGATTTTATGAAAGTATTTAAAAATAAAACATGTTTATTTAATAAACACTAAATTTTTATTCATTTATAAATCTCTAACAATCTATTAGAAGATAGAAAAAAAAATCATAGATTAATTAAATAATACAACTTTGAAGTACCTGTCAAGAAACGAGTAATTAAAGATAACAAATAGATTTATGCTAAGAGTACGATTAATGGATATTTTCAGAAAACCTGTTAATAATCTTTTAACATTGTTAGTCAATCATAGTATTTTTTTTTATTGTAAATATTTAAAAATATTACATGCAAAACAGCGAGTATTTTACATTTTTAATGAATAAAATTTTTTATATTTTTTTAACACAAATCAAGAATACATAAAATTTCTAAAATAGACAAATACAATTCTAATGGATATGATACAGAGGGAAGGTTTTTTTTTTCAAGCAACACAAAAGGATGAAAATGATTGCAATTTTAAGGCAGAGGTTTTTTTTTTTCTCTTTAAAACAGTTAAGAAAGCAGACGGACGAGACGTCCTCGAGCTTGTTGACACCCAAAAAAAAAAAAAAAGCTTTCAGTCCTATTTAATAAAATACATGAAAAAGAAAAAAATTAAAGATAAATTATAATAATTAGTTTTTGGTACTATGAAATTGTAAAAATCCTTTTTTAAAAGACTAATTCATGCAAAAATAATAATTAAACAAAACAATTTCAACGAGATGAGGGGA